CACGACGACACGTGCGGCGGTGGTCTCCGCTGGCAGATTCCTCCCACCAACCCGGGATACAGCTACAAGAACAGTAAGCGGGCGAGACGCCGAGTTTTGCGAGGGTTTATGTATACGGTGATGGCGGGCTAACACATATATCTCTATCAGGTATTGCCAATGGCTGCTTCTTCAACTTGGGCGCACGCCTGGCTCGATACACTGGCAACACGACGTACTCGGACTGGGCCGAGAAGACTTGGGATTGGATGATCAGCGTCGGGTTCCTGAACAAGGAAAACTATGCCATCTACGATGGCGCCGACGTGTCCAACAACTGCACGCAGATCAACAAGGCCGAGTTTTCGTACAACAACGCGGTGTGGACTCTGGGGGCGGCCTACATGTACAACCACGTACGTTTTCTCTTGATACTTTTTCTGTCAACCCAAGCATCCAAGGCTAACCGCTCAGCAGACCGGCAGCGACACGTGGAAGTCTCGGCTCGAGAAGCTGGTCGACCACGGCCTCGAGACCTTCTTCCCGGACGGCATCGCGTACGAGCCGTCGTGCGAGGGCGTCGGCACCTGCACCACGGACATGGTGTCGTTCAAGGGCTACATCCACCGCTGGTACTCGACCATGACGCAGCTGGCGCCCTTCATGGCGCCCAAGGTGCTGCCCGTGCTCAAGACGTCGACGGAGGCGGCCATCAAGCAGTGCACCGGCGGGGCGCTGGGGCGGCAGTGCGGCTTCAAGTGGAACACGGGCAAGTACGACGGTAGGACCGGCGCCGGCCAGGAGATGAACGTCGTGGGCGCCGTGTCGTCGCTGCTCATTGGCGACGCCGCCGTGCCCGTCACGGGCGACTCGGGCGGCACGTCCAAGGGCAACCCCAACGCGGGCAGCAAGCCCAACAGCTTCCAGAGGCCGGAGACGCCGGTGACGGCGGGCGACAAGGCCGGCGCGGGCATTGTTACTATTATCATCATTGGGTCGCTGTGTACGGCGCTCACCTGGATGAGCATCGGTGCCTGAGGTGCCCTTTCCGACTTCTCTTTGCTCTTTCTTTATGATCAAAACATATGACGGAGTCGCGGCCAATGGTTGGTCGGACAGGCCACCCGTCTGGTGTTCCGGTTGGCTATCAAGGGGGGGGCGGCGGACTGGAATCACTTTACCATCTTGATATCTGGCGTTGGCGGATGTGCTATTAGGGATCATCTAGCATTGTCTTTTGTGTTTTTGCTTTTATCGTCTGCTAGATGGCAGTATACATTTCGATTCTCGTGGTCGAGCCTCAAATGTTGCAGAGGAAAGGGGAGTAGGATAAAAGACGAATATACTTGTACAACAGGACAGTGTACAACAGGGCAGTCTTCTACTAAGTCTGTTTCGATACTACTTCAACAGAGACGTGCAGTCTGTGTCTGTTGCGCGACGATTGAAGTTTGTCACCGTAGAATTGCGGATCGGCCGGCAAGAAGCTGGATCAGCAGTCCGTAACGATCGTCGTCGGAGCTCGGAGGACGCGCCGTTGAAAGCTCCCACCCCCCCTGTCCATCACCGCAGATGATGATACGTCATACACTGCTGCACTGCGCAAATTTCGCAATTGGACATCGATGGATGCCAGGGGAAACTCCCATATTCGTCAAACGTCCTGATGCAAAATGCGCAGTAACATGATGATATGGCCAATAGTTCGAGATGAGGGATGAGCAATATGCGAGCGGTGAAGCCGATGCGATGGCGACGATTGACAATGTGGAAGTTTGTGGTATTGCGGGTTGTACATGTCAGTCTCAGTCAAGCAACGAACAAATCTCCGCAGTATCAGGCACAGCAGGCCATCTCGCTTCGACGAAGGAAAACACGGGGTCAACGTGCAAAAGACCCCGGGGACGAGAGCATTATGTCAGCGAACGAATCTCTCGTCGGATCAAAAGTCAGT